AGCAGCGTTTCATAAGCCCACACACTCACACTCACACACACACACACACACACACACACACACTTACACACATAGACACACATACACATATTAACTGAATTGTCAAAGATCTATCATTGTGAATGTACTTTACCATATGTTACTGCAATACTATCATGGATGCTTGGCTCCCTTTCCTTTCCCATTTGATCTTCTCCCAAATTGGTGGCAACTCTTCATTGTAATTTGAATATGACTGTTACACTGAGATGCCAAAGAGCTGTACTGAGCAGCTGTGCCTTTTGCCCAACACCTCTGCTTTATTCTCTCTTGTCTAGTGGGTGAACGGCACCTGTTGAAGGTGAGGGGGCAAATGAAAAGCAATGAACCAAATCAGCATGGTGTGGGGATCACTGTGATTTTACTTGAGTCATGCTGACCCCTTGTGGGTGTTGCATGAAAATGCACCACTGATTTGTTGCCTCACTGTGTTTCCTGTTAATTTGCCCCATGTAGTCCCGCTGAGGAAGAAGGTTCGTAAACTGTTTGGCTCAAAGTCAAACATACCTGAAAGGTGCTGTGTCATTCCAGGTCCATGTGTGTAGTACAGACTTGTTATTACTGTTTTGGAGAGAGATTCTTATTCGCTTTTAATTTATATTTTTCTGTTGTTTTTTTTCTTCTTTTTTTACCTTGAATGTTAACGCTAGTTCAATATTTCCTTTTCCAGGTTTATTGTGTTCCTCTAAAAGTTGAGATTAAAAGATGTGGATCTATACAGTATGTCTGTTGGTTTTTAATTTGTGGGAAGTAATTAAAGTTATTTTTCTGTATTAAACAGCACTTTTAAATAATAGTTAAATAACATTTGATTGAAGTAATCACTATAAAATGGAATCAATGACGTCATACATTTTATTCCCTAAGTGTTTTTCCCTTCATTAGGAAATAAAAAATTCTTGTTTGTTCCTAACATTAAATTGTTCATATCCTTGGATTGGCTCCTCTATTTGAATTGTCCTATGTTTTGAGCTTTTGTCTAAAAGTAACTCATCAGTGAACATCATTAGTATTATTATTTTGATCAGGAATTGTCTGTAAAGTTCCGGGTCATAAAAAGGTTCTGCTTTATTTTTAAAAGGGACTTTGGTCACCAGGAAGTGCTGCTTACCCAATGAGCAAAGTTAGTGACGTGTAGGGCCTTTTCCCTTGTGTGTGTGTGTGTGTGTTCGTGTGTGTGAAACCTGTGAGAAGATAAAGGGGCATGCAAGCCTTGTTGAGCAGACACTCCTGATTGATCAGACCTCAGCGGACAGACATACTTCAGTGCAGTACAGGTAGGAGCTTCATGCTTTTTTTTTTTGTAGTTTTAATTAACTACATAATAAACAATTAAAAACCTTTTACTTTTAATTTTAACACACCTAAAACAAATTACAGCAAATGTACATATGACATGATGTGGTATGTTTTTTTTTCCTGAGAGAAAAGTAAGTTAACAAAGGTGTGATGAAGTTCATCTTAATTAATGTTCTTAGTAGTAATTGCTTACCTGATGTCCATTACTCAGTCATGTCAGTATTGTCATTTTGTATGTAGTTGCAGTGGTGGAAGTAGTATTCAGATCCTTTGCTTAAGTAAAAGTACTAATACCACATTGTGAAAATACTTCACTGCAAGTAAAAGGCCAGTGAAAGTATGTGTATTATGAGTAACATGTCAGAATGAGCTAATTTTAACTTATTTACTGTTGGGTAGTTTAATTTAATGCAATGGATCATATTCTATAAGATCGTCATATTTTTGTAACATCGCTGTTCTGTGAGAGCCACTTATCTCTAAAAAAATCCACATGTCAGAGTTCACATAAGTTTTTTTTTTCAATACTTTATTTAGCGTAAGAAGTACAAGAATTTTCTCAACTCACTCCATCCTTCAGTTTATCAGAAAAAATCACTTTCAAAATCATCAAATGTTGAGGGTATGAAAATGTGTGTTCTAAAAGGTAATTAGTAACTAAAGCTGTTGGATAAATGCACTGGAGTAAAAAGTAAAATATTTGCCTCTGACATGTAATGGAGCACAAGTATAGCATTAAATGGAAATACTCATGTAAAGTACCTGAAATGACCTGAAAGTATTTACTTACATTCCACTGAGTAGTTGTCAAAATTAAATGTAATGTCACTTGTAATAATATCACTGTATTATAACAACCAAAAGACTGAATAAGCCAAATATCATCCAACTCAGTTCTCTTTACCATCATGTAAAAAAACAAAACAAACTTTTGCTTTATACAGTAGAGCAAACCAGCTCCTTTAGTGGTTACATTTTAAAGAACCATGAACTGCTTTTCTCTGACTTTTGAAATTGCATTATTATTTGTCCTGTTTTGCTTCCTTATGGCTCCCATTAAATGCATTCAAATAAACATCATGTGATTTTGCTATGGAAGCATTTTATAGCTTCTTGGAAACAAGTTAACAGTTGTCTATAGTTGGTTCCCATTAACTGATATAGTCAGAGCTGCAATAAGGAAGACAACAAGGATCAATAGCTATAAAAGTAAACTCATGTCTGTTATACAAAGAACAAGCAAGGTGTGTGTGTGTGTGTTTTTTTTATTGTTCTTCGTGGCTACTTCTTTTGTGATTAACAGTAAGTTGATAAGATACCTTACCTTGACTTTACCGTTCAGGCCTGAACTCATCAGAGGACATATGATTAATTGGAGCCAGATTATGGCAACATGTCCATGACCTACATACATGGCACCTTTAAAACCTGTATTTCATAAATTTTATGGCATACTGCAAATTTAAGATGTGAACACTCATACTGATATGGGTTATACATTTATGGTGAAACTAGCACAGTACTATTAAACTCCTTGTACAGTTCAGAGCTGGAGGAAGTGAATTTTTCCTGTCTGCACCAGGTGTAGTCCCATGAGTTTAAACCTGCAAACGTGTCATGTGACTCAAATGTGGGATGGATAATCCTTTAAATAAGTTTCAGGCAAGATTAAAATAAAAAATAAAGTGTGGATACGAAGTAGCAACACACCAACCGAAACCTTTTATTACATCAGCTTGAAACACTTTTTATTTATTTAAAGGAGATTAAGCCCCCTTCTGTTTTCCTGCCAGTTACTGTGGTTAATGACTAACCAAAGCAAATGCCTTTCGACCCATGTTGCTGCTTGCTTGTGTTGTAAGCCATCCCTATGATTGATTTTCCTATGAGGCAAAATGCAAAGCTGTCCATTTCACTAAAATCACCTAAGCGAATAAAGAAGGCAGTGTGAATAATTATACAGCAATTTAGTTCGCTGCTGAACTAATAAAAAAATGTGTTCTCTTTTTCAACAGTGTGGAAAACAAAAACAGCCAAGATGTGTTGCTCCAGCTTTCTCAAAATTATGATGTTTATCTTCAATGGCGGCATCTTTGTAAGTTGGAAAAAAGAAAGCTACTTATTTTCTCTATTTCATGTATGGTTCCACAAGAAAACAGACTATATATATACATGCTTGAGATCAAGCTATAGCCAGGAGACAGATAGTTTGACTTAGTTTATATGAATCATTTTTACACTTCGGTTTTTGTACAGATGAAACAAGCAAGATATAACATATCAATTAATGAGCTTTAGAGGTGATGCTATGTGCAAAGAGCCAAGCTAGCTGTTTTGTCCTGTTTCCTGTCTTTATGCTAAGCTAAGCTAACTGACAGCTGGCTATAAGGATATTAATCTTAATTAATCTAATTCTCGGATAGAAAGCTAGTAAGCATATTTCCACAACATATTCTAAATAATTCTCCCGCTGAACTCCTGCTCACCTGCAAAGGATTTCTCAAATCTGTGGTTCAAACTTTCATCAGTATGTTTTTTAGCAACTTTAGTGCTCAGAATGACTTTTAGGAATCTCTCTTAGCTCCTTTCACCATGTCACCCGTACTCTATCATCAATATATTATACCATTATTTGTGCATGTTTTAATGCCATTTCCATTCTCTACTGTATTCTCTCCATTCTTTCCTTACCCATCGTGCAGGTGGCAGGTGCAGCCATCCTGGGTGTGGGAGTGTGGGTGAAGGTGGACAGCGGTTCTCTGCTGGGTTTACTGGATAATGTGGAAGACATTCCATCTGGGTTATCCCAGCTGGTCAACGTCAGCTACCTGCTCATTGCAGTAGGTGCTGTGTTGTTGGTAATTGGCTTCCTGGGCTGCTGCGGAGCGGTCAGGGAGAGCAGGTGTATGCTGCTAACGGTGAGCCATGTTTGATATGTCAACTTCAGCTCAAGAGCTCAACAAACTGAAGGAATTAATAATAAATAATAATACATTTTATTTATGGAGTGCTTTTCATGATACACAAAAAGACTCTTTACATTAGTTAACATTTTTATCAAACAATGCACTAAAAATATACAACACACAACATTAATCATGTGTTAAAAGCAGTGAGTTTTAAGGCACACCGTTTAATTTTTGTAAAAATGTGCAGAAAACTATTACTATTATTATTATTATATATTGTTATTGTTATTTACTTAGGTAGGGATACAGTAAGACTTTTACATTTATCATTTTCTCCCCATTCAGTTCTTCAGTATCGTGCTGATTATCTTCCTCGCCGAGGTTGCAGGGGCTGTGGTGCTGCTCGTCTTCCAGGATGTGGTAAGTGGCTCTCAAAAGCAAAACAATATCTACTCAGCAATAATTGCCAGTGGTCAGATCTGGAAACTTGAAAAACCATAAAGAACTTTGCTAAAATTGTACCACACAAGTACAATAATTGTCAACTTGTTCTTCTCAGGCTGATCAGCTTCTTGGAAGTCTGGAGGATGAAGTTAAAAGAAGCATTCAAAAAGACTATGGAAGCAGTGAAAGTCTGACCTCTCTCTGGAACGCCACAATGGAGCAGGTATGTGTTTGTGGTGATAAGACCATTGAACTGTTTTTGTTATGATTTTGGATTAACACTTTGTGGTTCTGTTCTAGTTTAAGTGCTGTGGATACAGGAACTTCACAGACTTTGAAGGATCCCCTTATAACATTGAACATGGGAATGCTTATCCACCCACCTGTTGCAATGCAACCTACAGTGAGAATGTATGCAGTGCAAATGGCGCAATTCATTCGGTATGAGACTAAGTTACCTTTGGTTTAACTTCATGCAACAAAACCATTAACTGTGATAAAGTGCAACAGTAATTCTATATCTTTGCTAAAACCTGTTGTTTCTCTTCCAGGATATTGATGGCTGCTTTGAAAAGCTGCTGCAGCTGATAGAGGATAACGCTGTCATCATTGCAGCTGTGGCTCTAGCAATCGCTGCACTTGAGGTACAGAAAACCGTGCTAAACAGCCCAAGTTGTTTACATTTTTTTCAGCCACAAGTCGAGAACAGGGCTGTGTACTCTGGCCACATAGTTTGTTTTCATAGAGTGGTATTTGAACAAAATATCTTAAGAATTGTCATTTGTCATCAGCTCTTTAATGTTGCTACAATTCAATTTATATAATCGTAACAACAACAATACAGAAAATTATCACCTTTATGGAGCTTTATAGTGAGTTTCAGCTCATTGTTTAGCTGTCCAACACCAAACAGCAGACAGACACTGTTAGCGACTAGCTGGTGAACATAGTGGAGTAGCTAAAGGGCTGAATGGAGATTGAATATTGGATTCACATTCATCAGATTGACACAAACACAACTCCAAATGAATGATAATGTTTGTTGCTACATAAAAGTTGGATATATGAATAAGCAACTGTGAGCAAGTTCACCAGATCAACTTAAAGGGTGATGATATATCAATGTTGTGTTCACAACTTGTTTTTTACTCCCCCGAAGTGGCCAAAATAAATCAGTAATTGCAGGTTAATATAAAAGCATAACTAAGTTTCATTGTTTGTCATATTAGGCCGAGGCCACTGACGATTGCTGATTTTGATTCACACCAGTTGTGTTAACTCAAATGTGAATTACGTTCTAGAGGAATGCGAAAAAGTTTCAGTGATATTAATTCATGGCAAGCCATAAATGTTCACTGTCAGTTCAGTAATTGAACCTATAATTGGTCATAATGCCACCAAACACAGCAGACTAATAAATAATTGTCCAGTTATCATCTCTGGAACCCTACATTTGAGTCTAACATCAATACAATTTTAATTAATTTACCTAATAAACATGAAAATAGTTCCGTAGTGACACAATGCATGGCTTTTCAGAAATTTGTAATTCTACAGAATACAGTATTTTCCACAGAATTGTGGTCTATAAAAGTCTATAACCAACATTTCAGATCCATTACACTGTGTTTAGATGATGTGTTGATGAACTTTTGTCTTTACAGATTGCTGCCATGGTGGTTTCGATGGTTCTCTACAAGAACATTGGCAACAAGGCGTAATGTTTCCTGTTTGAGATGAGATAATTGTAATAGGTGAAGAAATTGAAGAAGAAAAAATACTTGTGAGCAGATTTCTATGTATAAAGTTTTTTTATTTGATTCAAAACAGACAGGTTAAGATTTAAGATGTGCTCTACATTACTGGCATGAGCATTAAAATCAAAGACAGAAAGTTCTTCAATGGAGCTGATGTGTTCTTAGTTTCAAAACTGTATCTGTACACATTTATACTGTGAAATATTTATGTTTTAAGAAGGGCTGTTATAAAATTGTATGTGCTGATACATACTGTATAGCTAGTGTGTAATGGTGCACAGGTCAGGAACAATCTGCGTAAGTTGTGTTAGTTGTTTATGTCCCTCACATTCACTGCAGTAATATAATCATTTTATTTTTGTATGTTTGATCATAAATATCAGACTTTTATTTTTGCATTGATTCTGCCTATTTTCACAGGCATGCTTCCATATGTTAATTTGGTAACGTGATATTCAAATGCATGCTTGTTTAGTAAAACTATGTCAGATGATAATGGTAAATGTATTACCCACAAAAAATGGATTCAAAGCTGAATAAAGCATGAACCAAATAACAAAAGCACCACATATGAGAATTATTCTGCATTTTAAACTGTAATGGGTAGATGATCATTCAAGAACATGTATATCAACATCAAGAATAAAAGTACATTCACTCACTCCAGCTTCATGTTTGTATGATATTAACCCATATACTGTGTATTAACTCCAAACTACAAGTCACTAGGACTGATTGATTGGAAGGAGTGCATTCAAAAATATACTAAACATACATTTTCAGTGGACTATAACTGCTTTTCTCAGGGATTTCCTACACAATGTAGCATCCAGAACAAGTAAATGTGTACAAAAGGATTTTTGAGTTGTTAAATATTATACTAAGATTTTGATAAACCCTTAAAGGACCAGTGGGATATAATGTCATCCAGCAGTGAAGTTTCAGGTTGCAACTAACTGAACACTGCTCACGTCTGTATTTGACAAGGAAAATGTGAAGTGTTGGAGAAACTACGGTGGCCTTCAAAGTCTCAAAAAATGCAAAAAGGCCCTAACTAGAGCCAGTGTGTAGTTTGTCTGTTCTAGGTTGCTGTTGGAACATGGGTGTTTCATGAAAGGTGACCCACGGCGTCTGTAGATAAAAACGGTTCATTCTCAGGTAGCAGAAACATAATGATTCATATATTCTGGTGATTCTACACTAATGAAAACTATGAATGATATATGTTTATATGTTACACACTGGACCTTCAACAGAGAGACCTTTGCAAGTATTCCAAATGTTATGAACTGAACTATGTTAATGTAGGTTTAAAGGAGGAAACTGTGAACTCTGGTCAAGAATATCGGGATATCGAGTCCATCATTTTTTTCCACATAAACCCTTCCAATCACAAACTCATTTTGTGGCTCATTTTTGTTGATTGTTTTATTTCCTTCAAATCCCTCAACAGCCTGTGTGCTGTGGGATACTTCTACAGTGGCTTGCTGCAGGTGTGACAGGTCATAAGTACAGTTAGCAAAGTTTATAGGGTTACGCCTCAATAATAAATAATATGAATGAACAGCTATTAAACTACATGGGCAAATGGAAAGGTGAGTGTGTTCCATATGGTCCACCCATATGGTCAGATTAATTTTCCTTATGTAGTGTAAGAAAATTATATTTCAACAGGTTTACATCAGAGTACATTGTGTGTGTCAGCGTGTGTGTATGTTTAGTGGAGTCAAGTTAGTGAAGTTTAATGTGTTCACTGCTGGCTGCTGAAGCAGCAGGTTCACTCGTCACATGCTGTGCCATATTTGATGACTAACCTCAGTGGCGTCATAAGCTGTAAATATTGTCTCTCTTGCTGTCATCATAAAACAGTGGGAACATGTGACTTTGTGTCATATTGTTTTCCTGGGTTAGGCAGTCTTTCTGTTGGTTTGTTTGTGGGCAGTGTTGTATGCTTGAATTTCCCTCGGGATAAATACTCTATCTATCTATCTATCTATCTATCTATCTAGCTAGCTAGCTAGCTAGCTACCTACCTACCTACCTACCTACCTACCTACCTACCCAGCCAGGGGTAGACACAATATTTTGAGAGTATAAAAATATTCCTACTAACATCATCTGTGAAATCCAATCTATCTAACATTTCCAGTTAGAAAGACATTTGGGCATAATAAGTCACACTGCTTCCTGGCAGCATGTCCATTCTCAGTGTAAAGCTTTATGGGAGAACTTCTTTTTTTAACCTGTTATCTGATATCACTTTATATCTTTAAAGCTGTTTTTGTATTCTCACAGGCGTTTACTGTCTGCCCAGGATGAGAACATCTTGCTTGAGCAAAACTGACCTTTAAATGCAATATATCCACAGAACATGCCCAGCTTGTCAGCAACAGCACTCCAAATATGGCCCTGCGGTTCTTTGCTGTCTCTTAGTTGTTGGGCCACTTAATGATAGTTGCAAAGAAGTGCGCTGAAGAGTCAGGCCTGTCCAGAGGCTACCAGACTATCAGTAATGGGTTGAAAGGAGGCCAGATAGATTACCAAAACCACCTCCTGGATGGAGGTGTGGCACAGGTTCAGCCTGGCATTCAGGTGTTTTGACAATGGGGGCTCAGCACACAAGTTCAATAGTTTCCTGATCAGTTTTGTACTGATATACCTTTATACTTAGTGTATACTTTACACCATGCATGCTTTTTATCTGGTTTTATTTATTTTATTTCTCTTGGCTACAGAAGCAAAAGCAGGTAGTTCTGCAAAATTACTCAATAATTCTGAGAGAAAGAAGGTTTTTGACCCTTTTTTAGTTTTTCACAAAAGATTTGACTGAATAAACTCCTTCTAAACTGAGTTTCCTCTTTCTGAAAGAAGGATTCATCATAATTTCCAAGGCTGCTTTTAAACTGCCACATTAAATTACATTAAACTCCAGTGGGAAGCTACAGCAGAAACGTTTTTCCAAAGTTATCACTGAGGCATTGCAATGTAAAAAGAAAAAAGTCAACATTACAGTACAGTCTTTTGTTGAATCAACCTGTCCTGTAAGAATCCTGTACTGTGGTATTTATTCAGGCAGGGGAGATAATACTTTGTCAACTCTGCCCTCTTGTGGAAAACATTTATTCTGCAGCTAGAGGAAGTGATTTTCACAATGCTCACACATATCCTGCACATTACTACAAATATTGTAATTACTCAGTAAGAGGCCTCAGCAACCAGTGTGTGAATATCCCAGGTCAGTGTAGATAAGGAAGTCTTCAGATTAGAGACGATGAGTCATTTACGTTTCCCATCCTTGCATCTATCTTGACCATAATGTTAAGTGGTTGATGGGAAACAGACCTGGAGAAAGAGGCAATGAGGAAAAGTGCCTTTTAACATCAAGGTCTCTATGAGAAAGTCAAACACCCTTTCTATTATAACATTGTCAGCCGGTCGGCCTTCAGTAGCAAGTGTGTGATCAGGTCACGGGTGACAGAGCACCCTGAAGTCTAATGGTGTAATGATGGGATGTCAAGGGGGAGGCTGAGAAGATGCTTGTGGGAATAAATGAACAGGAGATGGCTTGTTTACACAGAGAACATAAACTCATTATTGTTTTACAGCCGAAGGTAATAAAAACACCTGCTTAATAAGAAGGTGTTGACTAGATAGCATCAGTCTTCCTCAAGCTATAGCAAAATAGTTTTAATTTAGTAAAACATTTCCTCTGTGCATGTTTTGAGCATATTCTACTTTTTCATGACATTGCTGAAAACAAATATCATCAAAACATCAAATGAGGAAAGATCTTTTGGAAGAATGGTGTTCAGACCTCCTGTAGTGCAGGGACAGGAGGAATCTAGGTAAAGGAGCATTCAAGCTGTTCTGGCGGCTGACTTTTTTTTTTCATTTCCTGTTTTTCAAAAATTTACTCTAGATTTAAAAAACATAATGAATAAAATGAATAAATAATAAATTAAAGTGATTTAGATAACTAAAATCCATAGCTACAAGTAATCAGTATCCATGGAATTAGCCCCGGATGACATTATTTAACTCCAAGGATCAAATTCCTTCTTCAGATAAATTTTTTATGACCATTTTTTTAAACGCTCACCTTGAAACTAAAATCCTCTCAATCTGGCGACCATCCACGACCTGGAGTTATAAGCTTGGTGTGATGTCTGGTCTGGTGTGGGAATTGCGACACCTTTGCATTAAGGCACAGGTGAGAACTGGCAGCTGCCAATATAAAAGACTCCCTCCATCACACTGACAAAGCACTGACAGCAAGGTTGCCATTTGGAACCTTGGACCATACCACCAGCCAGAGATTTTTTTTAAATACATTTTTGTTAACTTTTGCTGTAACTTTTTAATTGTTTAATCGGGGTTTGAAAATCCATTGCATAATTTCTATTTTTTGTTCTGAGAAGCATCCCTGTCTGTGTCAAAGAATGGCATTCCTTGTCAGCCTTGTCTTTTTGTCAAGTTGGGCAGCTGTAGCTTCTACATTCCCTCATAATACTTTTGACAACATTGTGAAAGGGTCAAAAATCGAATTTGAATCATCTGGCGGCGGACCGGATGAAAAGGCCCGGGGAATAGTTAAGGTTGTGCAGCTGGACCCTCGTGCCCTGGCCCAGTCAGGGTTCTTCAGAAGGGGATTGACTCCAAGAAGCGCCCCCTCCCTCAGCTCCAGATTGTCCTTCCCTGCTTTCTTGTCTCATGGGCGTCCAGGTCCAGCCTCTGCCCCCAAGACCCCAGTGAGTCCACTGCACCACCTGCACCCTAAAAGCCCCACTGAGATGGAACTAAAGAACAGGCAAGGCCTGCAGATGTGGCAGAGAGCTATAAATAAAGGAGAGAAGATGACCATGTCTCTGCCAGTCAACCTGAAGGACACTAAACAGACATGCTCTGCGGTACCTTTCACTCAGGTAAGAGGCTAAGATTTTTGTATCATGTTTAATGCCAGGATTTTAATTCCATTCTCTGCCAAATAGATGTCTGTTCAATGCATGAGCAAGGCAATTAAAAAGAGTGATTCTTTACACAGTCAAATAAAAAATAGCAATGTTAGGAACTGTTTCATTGACAATAAGAGACATGTCTGTTCACTCATAAAGCTCATCATAGCTCTGGTGGAGGATTAGCTGTGATGGCATAGTATTACATAAACACAAAGTGTTGATTTTTACATCCTCAGAGGTAAATTAAGACGGACAATATTGCTGTGATGTTTAGTCTAATCTTGCCCCTCTCTGTTCCCCTCCCAGCGTGTAACAGCCAACGGATGTGACACAGTAACAGTGCACAACAAGCTGTGTTTCGGCCAGTGCAGCTCCCTGTTTGTCCCATCCGAAGGGGAGTTTGCAGGGCTGGGTAGTACTGGGATGGGGTCCCTTAACCACCGGGCCCCCTGCTCCCGCTGCGCCCCATCCAAAGCTCACACTGTGGTCGTGCCCCTGCGCTGTGGAGCCGAGGTCAGGGAGAGGCGAGTGATGGTGGTGGAGGAGTGCAAGTGTGAGACGAGTCGCGAGGAAAAGAGAGCTGAGGCTGGAGCTTCCACACACCTGTTGTAACAAAAATACATGATATATTTATTTCCTTCTGTGATTTGCTACAGTTTAAATAACAGAATAGAGAGACATCATTTGGACTGACTTCACTGTCAAGCTATGGATGTGTGATAATTATTTAGACACTTGTAACCAGTATTACATATGAAGTTGTATGTGTATTTAAATTCGTATTTGAGTCTGAATTTGCGTTTATTCAGAGTAAAACTTTCTGGTGTTTTTCCACCATTGATTGATGACAAAATGAGCTATATAGGTCATGCACTTTTCTGTTGCAACAGATGGAAATGTCCACACTGGACTTATGTTAATGTGTTGAATGAATGAATCTAAACAGAAATATTGTAATCTGTAAAACCATCATTAAAATGTCCTATTTGTCCACATTCCTTTTGCCTGGCTTTGCTAATTAGTTTTCTACCAACACTGTTAGATTTACAAGTGCAATTTAGTTTGCATGCAAATCTCAAGTAAAAACATGAAGAGCATTTGTTGTTTTTTTTCCACCCACTCTCGTATTCAAGCGCTCAAGTGTCAGCTTCTATATTTTATTAAAAAGCCATGTTCCACCGACTTTTAGCACATAGCACTTACATCTGAAAGCACCAAACTAGAGAGCAAACGAGCTATTGAGCACGGGTACTTAGCAGTAAGCAAACATAATTGTTTCAGCATGGACCCCTGAATTATGTATAGGAACCACCTATTCTCATGCCCAATCTCTTTTCAGTGTAGTTGTGGGAATTTGAACATCCTTCACCACAGATGCACTTGAGCGAGTGGGTATGTGTGATTATGTGTGTATGTGCTTTTTTTTCAGTTAGGGCCCATAAAACCTATTATTCATTTATACCCTGGCACCTGGGCCTGGTAAAGTGAACTCATCCCACACATCCCTACATACATTCCCAGAGGAGCATAAAGAAGGGGGCTCTTTACGTTGCCTTGGCATGCTGTCAAAATGACTGTTTAGATGGCTATTTGCATTCACGTGGGCTTTCTGAAAAAGTGAAAGCGTTCATTGCGCTACGGGGGTGCATTGAGTCCCTTGGATTCCATTAGCATGTGATTAACATCTTGGGTTGATGGCTATATTTTCCAAGATTGATGGGACAAATATTTGCCCAGGTCTTAACTATGAGGAATTAGGGGCCACTTTTAATCAGGCACTTGTTTTTTCTAAATATGCAGAAGGTGGAGAGGTTGGGAGGCTCATACAGCCAGGCTGACTGCTTTTTAAATTCCCATTCCTCATAGTGAAGAAGGTTGTTTGCAAAATACCACTATCTGAGTAATTCATAACTAAAACTGCACTGTTTTTCATCATCCATCTCTGCCATTATACAATGGTGCACTTGCTATCTGTAATAAACTACCCACTGTGCTGTTGTGCGTGTGATGATGGCTGAGAAGGGAGAGTCATGTTCTCACTATCTCAGTCTATTCTTTCCAAACTCTGTACCTCTCTTTTTCCAATCTTTGGTCTTTTTTTCTGAAAAAAAGGAGTTAAAAAAAGAAAATGGGCATAGTGGAGGGGGTTGGGGGGGGGTTGTTGATTGAACAAACAAGGTGCACAAGAGAGTGCACCACTTAGCAAGACAGATGTCAGCCCCCTTTGCATTGTGGGATCCGGCGGAGCACTCCTGCGTCATTAAGGATGGCCTGGTTCCCATGGCGAGGGTAAAGGAAAGAGCGAAAGGAGGAGGGCCCGCTGCCAAGTTCAGCGCCTCGGGGATCAGATCAGCGTCACGGGGTGCTAAGTGGCCTAGTTAGCGCTTTAAAACGCACAATGAGCTGCCTGCTCTTTCTCTGTGTGTGTAGGCCTTTTAACTGTCAGACATAGGAATGGTTGGGAGGTGTGCATGATGGAGGTGGGGGAGTGGACTCAAATGATATCAGGTCAATCAAGGTGTATCAAGGGGAAACTGAAATGATGATGGATGTATGATGAAGATATTTGCATATTTCCTTGGAAGTTTTTCTTTGAAAATTTTTTTTTCTAGACTGGTAAATACGGTTAATTAACTGTGAGAGGTGCTTATTGTGGTTCTTTGTGGCTTAATTGGCTTGAAAACAAATATCCTAGGCTAGATCATCTTGATGCTGTACACCTCTCATTCCTAACTTCCTGTGAGTCCCTGTGTATCTATAGCTACGGCTAAGTGGACCAAACAGTGCTAAGCTAACTTACTAGCTGAACAGTGCTGGAAGAGGAAGGTCCACCAGATTTTCCCCAGCCGCTTGGGGCTCTGCTGGAGCTAAACCGTCATGGTAGATTGGACCAGACTGGACTGTGGATCAGGCTCCTAGATCTGGCATCAGCAAGTGAGAGCGAACAGGGGTCCATAATGCTCTCCCTGGAAAGAAATTGGGATGGTGACAGGGTAGGCCAGGAGAAAAGCGACGACCTGTTAAGTCATACACCAGACAGAGTCTTCTCACCTAAATCCCACTGATACAGGTTTACTGCTGTAGGTGTCAGGCTCTAGGTGTGAGGGTGTCTGGACCACAGCTAACATCTACCTCCCCACTGATACGGTGGTACATGCCCACTCTGTGGTGTTAGTCTGGACCAGCTGGTCAGAGTTGGCTCTGCAGGAGATGGTGCCCCGGGCTAAGCCTGCCAGTCTACTGCCATTCTGCTTGGCTGCCAGCTCGCCTGCCAGGCTGTCTGTTGGGTGCTGAGGAGGACAGAGAAAGGTGTAGCCTGCGGACAACATCAAAGTTTGTCATTGGATAAAATCCTACAGTGGTTTTAGTATCTGGTCTTATCACTACCACTACCACTACGACTAGTGTGTTTAGAATTAAATAGATAAATGTATAGGCCTATGGGTGTGTGTGTGTGTGTGTGTGTGTGTGTGTGTGTACCTTTTTGTCTTTGTGTGAGTTAGATGTTTGCTGACTGGACACTGGCAGTCACACCACAGCTATAATGAAGACAACAGATGTTCTCCTGTAGATCCATATGCGTACAGCGATCTTCCACTCTCCGTCTCCCCCCGGCTATCCACCTCCTACGTTGCTTAATGTGAGGTTACATCATGTTAAGGTGGATTTTATCTTTCGTAACAGAGTGAAATAAATAACCAGATGTTGAACCTCAGGAGATTTGACATGGACTTTGATAACATGTGTTAAAGGTCTAGTGTGTAACATTTAGAAGGCTCTATTGGCAGAAATGAAACATAATATTCATAAATATGTTGTCACTTGTGTATAATCACCTGAAAATAATAATCGCTGTGTTTTTCGTTACCTTAGAATGAGCCATTTTTATCACAGAGGTCGTGGGTCCTCCTCTGTGGTGTCCTCCATATTGAACCGCCATGTTTCTACAGTAGCCCAGAGGGGACAAAGCAAACAATAGCTGTAGATAGGAGTGTTCAAATTTTTTGCCTTTTTTTCCCTAGTTTCTCCTACACGCTTGGAAGGCAAGCTGTATTCAGTTGGTTGCAACTTAATTTCTAGATGCCACTTAATCTCACGGACTGGTCCTTTAAAGGAAGCACTTTGTTAAAAAAGAAAGACAAATCAGAGCATGTTGTTTTGAATAGGTGGTATAAGTATAGACCTAGATTTTATTGTACTTTTTTACGGTTGTTTGAAAAATGTCATGAAACTTTAGATTAATATATTGTGTTATTTCTCATGACTGACTTAGCCTCATACTTTACTTTACTTTACATACTTTGCTGACTGTAATTATTACTCGTGTTCATACTGGTCATTAAAAGATTCCTTAATGCACTCAGTGTAAGTGATGGGAGACAAAATCCACAATCAACAGCTAATATAAGGCATCAGCAGTCTGAGTTATATGAATCAAGTTTTCTTTCAATGTCTTTCTAAAGGGAATCTTATAATAAAAAACCCAATTTTTTATTTTTTAATCTATGATACCTTTTTAGCATGTGTGTTTTCTAAAATACTATATATAAATATTATCAGTTATTTGATTAGGTAGATAACTATGAAAATAAGTCCAGGACTTTATTGTTCTATCCGTGATGGAGTCTGATATGTTGTATTATTATAATTATATTCAAAAGATGTCAATAAACCAAACCAAAAAAGTACACTAAATGCACATACCATTATTTAACTGTGTACAGTATGTTTTATTTTGGGGTTATATATTCAAATTTCCTGATGCTTTAAAAGGAATGACTGGTCTGGTAGTTTAGGAGGCAGATATTTGACTTTCTGACCACTTGCCAGCAGATAACAAATGTATATGATGATATTTGTATATTCGTTTGTTCAGTTCAGTTGTGTGTCCGACTGTACTTGTACTGACTGTAGCCTCAGCATAGAAGAATCAGTTTGAGTGTTGAGCTGTCAGTAAACCCTCTGCTGGAGGGTGATGATGATAGCAATGTCGCTGTGGCAGGTGCGGTCCTGCATGCCATGCAGGTGATGTCTCTCATGCTCACTTAGCTAATGACTCCAATTAAAGTAATTAAGAGTTGGCACGGTGAAACCTGCTCACCCGCCTGCTGCCAACCCATCCATTCCTCTTCCTCTTCACCAGTACACATCATCGCCCACCTCGTACCACTACATGCCATCATCCATCGCTCTACTTCGCTCTCCTGCTTTCCCTTAATCTTTCTCTCATGGGCACCTTACCCTCTCCTTCATGCCACAACCACCCTGCACCTCTGCTCCTGCTGAGGCCTTTAAAAGAAACATGAAGCCTAAAATCGGCTAAATGCTCCACTCCAGAAGCACTTAAGAGACCCTCAGCTCAACTTATTGTCACAGAGACAGCTATGGAAGGGAAAGAGCGAAGGCCGGGTCCGGCAGGAGAAAGAGGGGAGTTAAATAGAGAGAGCGGATGCGAGCCAGGTCCTAACGAGGGGAGAGATAATTGTTTTGTTTTGTTAGGGGCCCTTCTTCAGTGTGGAGGGAGTTGAAATGACACGCCACACATGGTTTTTGGATGAAGTGGGCAAAAGGGGGGAGGGATTGATGCAAGAGTGGTGAAAGTGTGTGTGTGT